ACTGTCAGAAAGTTTCTCCTTATTTCCAGGTTGAATCTCTCCTTCTTCAGTTTCCATCCATTGTTCCTTGCCTGGCCTTCGGGTGCTTTAGAAAATAGCTTGACCCTTTCCTCCTCTCTGTGGCAGCCCCTCAAATATTGGAAGACTGCTATCCTGTCTCCCCTGGTCCTTCTCTTCATTAGGTGTGCAAAGATGGCAACCTTGATCAATTTATTGTCAGTTTATTTGGTGTGGATTTTTTTTAAAAAACACGAGTTTATTAATTTTAAAATCAGAACAGCTTCGGTTTGCACATTTTAATAATTCTGGGTATTTTCGGAAAGTTTTTAGGGTAAAAGTGACTAAAAATTCCACAGAAGGAAAAAAAAGGGGGAGGGGGTAATACAACCAGCAGGGGGCGATAGATAGCAAAATACATTTATTAGTAGCAAGGAATTGGATTGAAAGGGAGCAGAGAGAGAATTCTCTAGAGTCTAGAGACAATATTATTTTAAAAAAAACAATATTCACATTCTCCTCCATGGATAAACCTAATTTAAGCCTAGAAACATCTGTTTCTCACCCTTTTGGAACCTGCATCTCCAGCTATGGTATAATATAGATAGTCCTCGACTTACAACGGTTCATTCACACTTATGACCGTTGCGGCATTCCCCCATGGTCACGTGATTTATGCTGAACAACTGACTCCTATTTATGACAGTGGCAATGTCCCTGGGGGGGGTCACCAAGAAAGTTGGTAAAATGGGACAAAGGTCACTGAACCGCTGCCTCGCATAGCGACAGAAAGCTTGGTCTCAATGGTGGTCATAAGTCGAGGATGACCTATAGATATATTATGTTTTTCATGGAAGAAATTCAAACCCTTTTAAAGGGAGGGAAAGGCTTGTATTGGGGTGTCCAGAGAGTTCAGGATTAGAACCGGGGGTGGCCTCCCACCCAGGGATGGGATTCAATTTTTTTTACTAGCAGTTCTGTGGGCGTGGCTTGGTGGGTGTGGCTTGATGGGCATGGCAGGGCAAGGATACTACAAAATCCCCATTCCCTCCCCGCCCCACTAACCTGCTTTCCAGCTCCGTTCTCCTGTGCAGAACAACCAAAGAAGACCCAGCCGATCAGCTGGGACTCGGGAGGCAGAGAAGAGATGGGGGTGGGGCCAGTCTCAGGTGGGATTGGCTGGTTCTCTGAACTACTCAAAATTTCCACTACCGGCTCTCCAGAACTGGTCAGAACCGGCTGAATACCACCTCTGCTCCCACCAGTGGTGAAATGCTACTGGTTCGGCCCGGTTCAATGGAACCGGTAGCAAAAAAATGCCTTAGCTTGTGTTTGGAAAGCTGAGCACATGTGCGTGCGAAATGTGTGATCACCGAACCGATAGGGAAACTGGTAGAATCCCAACACTGCCTCCCACCCTGTTTAGAGAAGGAATCGCCCCTCCCTCCACCCCTTGGGGATCCTGCAACCCCCCCCCCCCAAAAAAAAGATCCTCACCTCTGCTGTTTCGATGGACCTGTAAAGGACTGGGGGTTGTCGCCAATGGAGAGTGAAGACATTCTCGCACAGGGGCAGGTTCGCAAGATGATGCATCGGATTCTCCCCCGTCTCGGTCCTGCTTGCAGGGATTCTCATACATCCTCAGGGAAGGCAGAGTCAGCTGCTTCCTTTCAGTGGGGGGAAAAGTGGGGGAAGGGGACAAAGTTTAATCTTCAGCATCAGCATTTGAGAGGGTTCGAGTCGTTCCCCCCCCCCCAACTTCCTTCCTCCTCCTATCTCTAGAATTCGTGGTGCTCCATCACTGGAGGCTTTCAAGAAAAGATCAGACAGCCATTTATCTGGAATGGTAGTAGCAATGTCACTCAATCTTGGCCACTCAAAGATGGGTGGACTTCAACTCCCAGAATCCCTCAGCCAGCTATGCTCGAGAAACAGGAAGCAATTATCGATGGGGAATTCTGGGTGTTGAAGTCCACCCATCTTCGAGTGGCCAAGGTTGAGCCATATTGGTGTAGTGCTTCCTGTTTGAGCAGGGGGGTTGGACTAGAAGACCTCCAAGGTCCCTTCCAGCCCTACTATCTATGTCAGGGGTCTCCAAACTTAGCAACTTTAAGATGTGTGGACTTCAACTCCCAGAATCCCTCAGCCAGCTATGATCGAGAAACAGGAAGCGATTATGGCAGGGGAATTCTGGGAGTTGAAGTCCACACGTCTTAAAGTCACCAAGTTTGGAGATCCCTGATCTATGTTGTACTCCTCAAGGTCCAAACAAAACCCAAAGGGCAGCACCTCAAAACTTCCCAACTGGAAAAAAAAATGGACGTCACCTCACTAAAGCCGAGTCCCTTTTGAGGAAAATTGACTCCTGCTCAAAAAACAATGCTTAGCAATGTGAGAGGGGCTTGATGCTGCTTTCCTGGTTGGTTAATCCTTCAGCCTAATCAGCATTCCCAGGGATCAACTGGTGGTCTCCCATCCAATTGCTAACCGGGCCTCCCCCTGCTTAGTTTCTTAGAGAGCCAAAATGGCCGCCACGGTGCCATTTGCGAATCAGTTCCTGACTGCTATGAAATCTGGAGCAAAAAAACCAAACCTCTTGCCTTCACAAGTTCAGCCCTCATTTCCCCATTGACAAAAATTTAGGATTGGTTAATATAATATTTGTTTGTAAGAGGCAGGGGGAGCTGTGGTTTAAGCCAAGGTACCATCTTTAGCTAAGGCGGTGCTTTGAATGTTGAGTCAAACTTTGTGTAGGGTTTAATAGAATATAGAACAACAGAGTTGGAAGGGACCTTGGAGGTCTTCTAGTCCAACCCCTCGCTCAAGTAGGAGACCCTATACTAGGGGTCTCCAACCTTGGCCACTTTAAGACTTGTGGACTTCAACTCCCAGAATTCCTCAGCCAGCAAAGCAGTGTAAAGCCGGATGAGGAATTCTGGGAGTTGAAGTCCACAAGTCTTAAAGTGGCCAAGATTGGAGACCCCTGCCCTATACCATTGCAGACAAATGGCTGTTCAATCTCTTCTTTAAAATCTCCAGGGTTAGAGCAGCCACAACTTCTGGAGACAAATCTTTCCACTGATTAATTCTCACTGTCAGGAAATTTCTCCTTAATTCTTTACGGTTAAATCTCTCTTGTCCTTTTTTGGCAGCAGCCAAACAAGCGAATTACAATCCTTGGTTGTATAAACAGAGGCACGGAATCAAAATCACGTGAGGTATTACTACCGCTTTATAAAGCCTTGGTAAGGCCACACCTGGAATACTGCATCCAGTTGTGGTCACCACGTTACAAAAAAGACATTGAGACTTTGGAAAAAGTACAGAGAAGAGCAACCAGGATGATTAGGGGACTGGAGACTAAAATCATATGAAGAACAGTTGCAGGATTTCGGTTTGGCCGGTCTAGAGAAAAGAAGGACTAGGGTGGATCCCTTCTCTGCAATTTAATGTGTTGCATATAAATCCAGCAACGGTGACCTGTAAGTCATGTTTATGGCAAGGTGCTATCAAAACCCAGGCAGCAGGAGGTTGTTTAACAAACCATGATTAAACCAACCACAGTCCAACACCTCAGATGAACACAGTGTTTGATTACAAAGCTGGGTCAATTTCTCTTCGTTTTCAGCAAGCTGAAGACTTAATCCAGGTGGTAAGGCTGCCCACAACTGTTTTGAGTAAACACGAATAAGGTTGCAGATAAGAATAACAAGATTACAATACAATTGTCTGAACGGCTTAACAGATCTTAATCCCAAAGAGAACTATATTTAGGACGGCAAGCTAAGATGAGGAGAAAGTACAGAAACAAAAAAAAAACAGCATTTGCCTGTAGAAATCCCACCTTGTTGTCATTAAGGGGGAAAAATATTCTCAATTTACCTTTTCTCTCTCCGCCCATTCCCTGTGTCTCGAAATCCTTTTGCAAAAGGGTTGTTGTCGATCTTCAGTTGGGTGATCTGAGAAAAATTGAAATAATGTTCAGGAACAGTTGAAAGTTCTTCCAGCTGGCCAAATAAGTGAAGTCAACGTCATAGCTACGGATTTGGGAAATATCTGGAGGGCACCAAGTTGATAATCCCTAGTTCAGGTGTCAACAATTTCCCCCACCCCCTTATTTTCCTCCCCAACGTTGAGGGCTGTTTGCAAACTGAAGCAGTATTCACTGTGTGAGCAAGGAGACAGCAAGGAGCCTGGGTGTGGCTTAGCTCAACTGTTCTGTACTTGCTGTGCTTGCTGTAAAACTGAAACCGAAACTCCTCTCCTCTGCTTGTGTTTTGCATTTGGAAGCGATTTCTTTTCAGGTGGGGAGGGGGAGTAGAACTCCTTAGCATCAGAGCGTGTTAATAATAATAATATAGGAAATACTAATAGCTCTGATGGTCATTTTGAAAAATCCTTTCTTAGTGAGCCCCTAGAAGCCAAGAGGAACATAGGTGCCAAATTTCAAGTTTGTAGGCTTTACGGTTCTGGAGATTTTGTGATGATGCGTGAGTGGCTTTTATATAGATAGATTCTTTTAAAAACAGAAGGTTGCAGAAATCGCGACCCCAGCTCGTTTGGGGAAAAAAAAAAAAAAAAAAAAAAAAACCTAGAGGGGGGAGGACTTGGGCTTGGAGTTTGTGGGGGGGACAAAGGAGGGTCCAGGGCGGTCTCCCCCTTCCCTTCTTCGGGCCCAGAGATCTACAAAACTCGAATTTATAGGAAATCCCCGCCTCCCACTTTTCCGCCCAGGCTGGCTGGGCTCCTCTGGTGGCCTCGTAAATTTGAAGGGCGAAGGCCGTAATCGATTAATGACCCTCCAACATCGGGCCCACCGCGGAGAGAAAGCCCCCAGGCGAAAGTGAAAGGGCGGCAGAACGGGTGGGAGACCGGCAAAGAAAAGGGCCTCTCTTCTCACCCTTTTTTCCTTTTTTCCCTTTGCAAAAGAAATTTCCCCGTGTCCGGCTTCCTTTTGCTTACGGCTTCAAACAAAAAACCCTAATTCCGATCCGATTTCCAGCCGGGGGATGCAGGAACTTTTATATCTTGAATCCGGGCCTTAATTGAACTT